CGTACATTTTTTATTTATATTTTTTAATTTTGTACGGAACGGAATTTGTGAATTCCGAAAAGTTGATTGGTGGGGGCTAGTTTGTATGATCTTTGATTTTTATTTTTAATTTTGTATGGAACGGAATTTGTGAATTCTAAAAAGTTGATTGGTGGGGACCAGTCTGTACGATCTTCAATTCCATATTTTTGTTTCATACAGAGCATTTTTTACTACAGAGGTGTAAATGTACGGAATACAGAACCTCTATAGACTCAATAAAATTCCATTATTAACTATTAACAATCTAATTATATAGATCTTGACCAATCAATCCCACCTATATAGTTATTGAATAATTGATAATAATAAACATTAATTAAATATATTTTACCAACAGCTTCATAGATCTCGACTTTAAGACTTACTTTGATCAAACCTGCCTATAATAATTAATGCAAAGACATATAGTAGAGGGCAAGAATTCGTAAATTTACTTATAGAATTCGTAACATATGTTGAACTTCACATTACCTTTTTAGTAAAAATTTATTAAAAGCACATTGTTAATCCCAGAGAGCATATTAATATATACAAAGTTTCGTTTAAGTTTCGCAATTTTACAAGAAGTTTTATTTGTTCAAACCTTAAAAATTGTGGTCGTGTGATTTTTTCGCTATATGATGATGTACTGTGTAACCGAACTCTACCTCTTTAAAAAAAAATGTCTGCTACCGTAAGCAAGAAAAAAAGAAAAGAAAAAGAAAATTCCTGAGAAGATGTCACCAGGTAAATGTTTATCATAAGGATGGTGGTGGCTGTCGCCACTCTAGTTATCATTATTAAAATTTCGGGAAAAAACACTTGAAAATCGTTCGACTGTTAATTATTAACATTAATATTTATTCAAGACAACAACGACAACGACGACAACAACAACAACAACAACAAAAAAAAAAAAAGAACTATCGACATATTCCAAAGCCATTGTCTTAAGCTTGATCTTATTATAAAGGGTTTATCGAGTGTTTGTGGGCAAAAGACTACTCGTTTTTTGTTTTATTTTATTTATTTAGTTTAGTTTACTTTTTTACTTTTTATTTTGTTAGATTGGTTTCTTTTTGAAGATGGGTAGTTGTTAAAGTAACACTTTCTCTACTGATCATTCGGGTACCAATTCATTAGAATCTCCATCAAAATTTTCATCAAAGCATTTGTCAAAGAATAGTGGCAAGAGAAGAAAAAGAAGATGTGGTCACGATTCTTCATAATAATATTTTATTTGTATTTTCAAAGTAATAAAAAAAAACTTTTAGTATGTTGTTTATATTATAAACAATATATATGAGGGGAAGATAAAATTATTTGTTGTTCTCAATTTTATTAATACACGGTTTTTATATCTCTATGATTGATTCAAAACAATTCTTACAATCGAGTAAAATGAGCTAAAAATGCATTTAATTATAAATAGATTTTCTTCTGCGTAGATTTTTCCTTCAGACATAAGTTTGGTAAAATTATTTGCAAACAGATGAGTTCTTTTCCCAAAAATAACGATTAATTAATCAATCACCGAGTTATAAACATTTAGATAAAATAATTTCTACCGCCAGATTTTCTTACACTAAAAGAAGATTGATTATTCTTTAAATACGAATAATCAGTGATTGTAGTAGAAATTGTATCATGATATCTTCTTTGATTAAGTTTTGTAAATCTATAAAAAAATTTCAACTTGTTATTGATGAAAACTAAAAATATATAGTTATAAAAAATATCTTACTAACTTGAATTGTGATTTATAATGGCATTTGTGGTTGTACAGTTTCACAACGACAATAATTGATAACGTGATAAAAATAAAAAACTATTTTTTTAAAAAAACAAAACCGTAAGATTTTTATTATTACCTTAAATCGTAAAATTCATGTTTTTTCCTTACCGCGATCAATGCCTCAATTTTCAATTTATATTTAACCATTACGTATAACATAATACTATTAAATGCTATTATCATATTATCATATAATATTAATCATTTTAATAATTAATACGAAATATTACAAACATCATAAACATAAATTAGCACTTACCAACAATTATTTTTATTGATTTATTGAAATTAATAAATTTGAATATAGTCATTAAAACAAAACCAAAAATCAACTTTTTAAAATAAAGTTTTTCTAATAATCATCATTATCAAGGATTATTGGTTAGCGTTGATTATTAAAATAACAATACAATAGTATTAATATCATTTTAAATCACCACCTATAAACCAATTCATAATATTTGATATTAGAACTAACGGCTTAAAAATATTTATTAGATCTTTCTGATGTTCTTTAGAATCAATCAAGATTTCATTGAATAATTTGATTTCGTTTTGTGTAGAATTTAAAAAGGTTAGTAAATTTAATTTGGATTCATTTAATGTCTGATGTAATTGTTTCATAAATTCTTGATTTTCTTGCTAGTAATATCAATAATTAATCAATATCATTTTAAGTAGTGAAAAAAATGTGTTATTATTACTACCTTGTAAACTTTTATATTTTGATGAACTTGATCTTGTAATTTCAAAGTATTAAAAATGGCGAAATTGATTTTTTGTAAATTCTAATAATTATCAATTATAATATTAATATTATTATATGTGTACATTGTTATAAATAAACTTACCGTTGAGATTTCTTGAAATTTTGCAACATTTATTTTTTCAAGATTTTCTTCTTGTTCCTTATTTGAAATAAATAAATGAATCAGCTCAAATTCTCGTAATTCGTCGTCCAAAAAAATAAATTTACCATAACGTTGTTAATAATTTCTAATTGTTGATTATTAATTGCGTTAAACTCTTTAAATGTTTCTTTAACACTTGTTTGAAAAGTTTTGAATTCCTTTAAATAAAAAGATTCATGAATTGCTTATTTATTTATATTACTTTATTATCGTTATTGTTATAATTTATAATAAATACCTCGATGAATTCAAATAAATATTTCAAAATATCTTGAATAATAATTCTGGAATTATTAAGATTACCTTTGAATGATTCGGTATCGATTGATAGTTGCTGTTTTGACGCATAGATAAAATTCAGAAACATGTTTAAATATAAATAGAAAAAAATACATAATTTACCTCAATTTCATTCACATTTTTTAAAATATCGGATTGAAATTTCTCAAGCATTTTTAATCTTTTCAATTCTTCTTTACGTAATTCAATCATTTCAGATTGTTGATTTCTTAAAATTTTATAATTGAAAAGTTGGTTTTTTGTTATGTTTCTGTGTAGTTCTTCAAGCAAATCTTTAATGTGAACAAACAAACACACATTAATTTAGTTATTTGATCAATCATCATAATAAAACTATTTCACAATACCTTTTTCTACCGAATATCGTACGGCAAAACATATATGAACTTTTAATGATAATTTTAGTCAGTAATGATTCATTTATATTTAACAGTTAATGAACAATACATACAAACTTCACGAAAATATCCAGAATACGAAGTCCATAATTGTGGAGTCCTTGATAAAGATCTATCCATTAAAAAAAAATAATCAAGGATCTATGTATCAATATTTGTATAAATGGACACACGCACACACATCTTTTTATTTACAAGTGATAAAACATACTCTACGCATTTTCCTACTTCATTATTTCCTATTTCGCGATCAAAATCTTGACATTCCATTGGCACTAGAAGATTAGCTGTTGCGATTTCACATTTTGTTAAATGTATAGCAACTACACAACACATTCACACGTATATAATTAATTAACTAGTTAATATTATTTTATTAGATCCTATAATCTTCAACATCTTCTTACATTGGATTTTGATTGTTTCTGATAAATTTATCTCGCTACAACCATGTTTCAAATTTCCAATTGCTTTCTTAAAACAATCTGACTTTTTTTCAAATTTTGCCAATGAAACTAAAAATATCGTTATTATTATATTAAACAATTTATTTATTTTATTTATCATTCATTCATTCGATTATTTATTTTAATTATTACCATATCCATTCTCGATAATCATTTTTTCCTCGCTCGACAACTTTAAAAAATTTTCCGCCGCCCAATCTACTATATTAATAATAATAGTAATATACATACATACACATATTTTAACGAGCTTAACGATAATTAAGATAGAAAGAAATCAATTTTAAAAAAAAACCTGATAAATATTCATTGTCATTGGTGAATAACAATCGTTCAGAATTATCATTATTAGAAGGATTTAGAAATTTTGGTAAATAATAATGATACCAACAACCATTATTTGCTAAAATAAATTCAAAATAATCAAGTAAAAAGATTCCAAAATAAAATAGATAATTTGTAAACAATTTCATTTTATTTTGAGAGAAATAAATTTTAAACTTGTATGAATATTTATAAGAAAGTTTGTTAAAAACGTCATTATTATTAAATTTAATATAAATTCGAATTCAATTCAACAATATTTAATATTAATAATGTATGGAATAATTACATAATAAAAGATTCGGACAAAATAAGTTATCCCTGTGAAACAATACAAACTACTTTTTAGAAGGCTAAGCTTGTAGAAATATTCACGATTTTACGTTAGCTTCTTTATTGACAAATTGTGATTTCTTTTACCGGGTAAAATTAAATTTATCTCTGTTAACATCAATCTATTATATATGGTAAAACTATTATGCCAATAGCATTCAATATTATATATTTTTGAAGCAAATTTTACGGTAATTATAATGATTATTAGTGTAATTAGAAAAATTATTATCTATTTTTTGTTTGTCTAAAAACAAACTTCTTTCTAGTAACAGAAAATTCTCCCAGCTTATGCCCAATCATGTCTTCTGTGATGTTAACTGGTACATAATCTTTACCATTATGTACTAAAAATTTTAATCCTACAAATGTTGGTAATATTGTGCATGATCTAGCTTGAGTCTTTACAGGAAGGTTATTTTTCATTGCCTCCTTCAAACCTATATACGTATATATATGTCATTTTAACAACCATTTTGGCTTTCCTTTTTGACAATGAATTATTTCTTTTAACCCTTACCCGGAAATTTTACAAAATAAGGTCCTTTCCAAGCTGAACGACCAAATGCTATCGCAGTTGCTTGCATTTTTTGTTAAAAAAATTTTTTTTTAAATTTATTGTGACACAATCAATGCTTATCTGATTATTTATTATATATATATCTTTACACAATTTTCAAGAATGTCAAATGAAAACTCTTCAAATGATTCAGTTGATAAATTTAATCAACAATTATCTGAGAAATTGAAGATTTCTGAAAATGACACAACAACTTTAGTACAAGTTAAAAAGCACACGGATGATTGCCATAAAGTTTTGGTCACTAAAGAGCTTTTACTACGTATATTCTGTGCATTACCAATACGTACTGTCTTAAAAATGAGACTTGTCAATCGTTTATGGGATGCTATTTTGCAAGGTATTATATTGAATTTGAACTTGTGTTTATGACACTTTAATATGATAGATTATGACATTTTTAATTTGTTCAGATGATCACACCTGGCGAAAAATACATGAGTCCAAATTTGATTCGATTCCACACTCATTATTTCAAAATAAACAATCTTACAAAACTATATGTCTTTACAAAGAATATCAAGAATCAGATTTATGGACTAGTGTTATAAATTCTCTGGATCCTGCTTCATCTACACTTTTGAAGTATTCACTTTTTTCTGATCAATCTTTCATTAATCCATATTCGTATGATATCCTTGGTTGTAAGTTCGTAAGTAATTATATAGCCATTGCAATTATGTCACAGAAAAGAATGGTTATTGATGAGAGGAACGGTGATATAAGTTTGATAAATGAGAGACCTACAATATCGAATGTAGATTTTAATTTGGTGCCAAATATTCAAGTTGAGGTGACTAAATCATAATTTCTTTCATTTGATCATTAAAAATGATTAATGTATTTATAAATTGGTTTGATTGTTTATATCAGGTTTACATCAAGATTCTCTCGCTAAATGTTAAAAGTCAACTAGACATTTCTTTAGATACTCAATTGCTTACAGTTACTCCGGGTAATTTAAATCAAGATCTTAATTATATCAAAAATATTTTTGGAATTAAATTTGGAGATGAGCATTTTATGTACTCGCCAGATATTTCTTTAGGAATTTGTAAAATATTTTCATATCCTGCCCATCATATGATAAATTTTAATGTCAATAATCCTCCACTATTAGAAATGTTTATTTCGCGCAATTTCTTAATAACTCTAACAGATACTGGAATCTTCAATTTGACAACATTAGCTAGTGTTAATAGTCATTACCAGGATTCTGTGGAGGTTCCTGCTAATGCAAGATTCATTATTCCAATTTCAGATGTGTCAATTAAAATCCATACTGTAGGTTTTAGTCAACAGCCAAAAGGTAGAATCACTGCTTACCATTTGGATTCTAATGATTTTTTATTTGTGGGGTATATTAACAATGATGAAAAACATGTATTTAGTGCTTGGGATCTTAGTGAAATAGGTCAATATAAAATTTTTAAAGTTGGGGAATATGAACAAGCTATTATACAATATTATGAAATTTTACCAGGGAAAGCACACAGTTTTCTTATTAGATGGAAAAATAAAAATGGTGAATATGAAAAAAATTTGGCTGATAATGATAATCAACGGTCTCATCTTACTCCTCAAATCTTTGTAACATGTTCTGGTGGCCATGTTTTGATTTTTCAACCAGAAGATTCAGAATCTGTTTTCAAAAAAAATATTGATCAAAGATTTGCTTTAAAAAAATTAAATTTGATTTGGAAAATAAGTACAGGATTAACTTCTTGTCGTATTATTGAAAATTCAAACACATTAGAAAATCAGTTCTCTTCGAACACAGATTGGATTTTTATTTCAGCAAAGCAATTAAAGGGAGATATGAAAGTAACCGTTGTTGTTCAATTTTCTGTTTCCAACCCAGATCCAAAAACAAGTATTGATGGTACAAATTATGGATTTTTTTCTATTGATAATCATAACCCAAATATAAATAATAAATCAAATGAAGAAGTCATTATTTATAAAAAGATTGTTCATAGAGTAATTTTTGAAAATATTCCAAGTTCAGGATCAGTTCTTCAAATACTATTACATCTTCCACACTCTTTACTTATTGTTTGTCAAAGACGTGAACCAGATTCACTTAAATTGCGGCCACGTTTTACTCTTTCTGTGTATGATTATCATAATTCACAACTTGTTAAATGTCTTCACCCGTCTGCACCATTTGTTTATTTAGTACCAAAGGGATATTTTGTCATGGCACATAAACCTAGTTCTAGATTTGATGTGACTTTTGTAGATTTAGCAAATAATAAATATCAAATAAAAACATCAGGAAAAACACCTTTACCAAAATTAAAACCTGATGGTTCAAATAGATTAAAGGTTAACAGATTATCTGGTAATAAACGTTCGAAACAGCCTAAAACAACAAAGATTGATAAAAGAAAAAGTCACCAAAGTAGTAAAATTCAATATTCATTCAGAGATTATGATATTGATTATGATGAAGAGGCTTTGGATGATAATGATGATAATATAGAATCTGATTATCATGAAGATTTTTAATATTAATATTAACATTCATACATATATTTATATTATTTATTTATTTATATAAAATTATTATAATGTAATTTTTTAAAAAGTATTCAATAATATAATAACTTAATTCACATAGTCAGTCATACATATATGTATATATGCTTTGCATGAAATTGGATTCGCCATAAAGGTTAGCATGAACTCATCACTATGAATGCAATTTATTTGTTTAATTATATTTTTAAATGAACAGCAGGAAGTCCAGAGAATGGAAATACTAGACTTTTGTAGTAGAGTTTCATTTCTTTCAAGGGTGTCTTTCTTCTTTTCATTGTCAAATCAGATACATAGCAATTATCATTATTTGAAATTAGAAAATATCCATTATTTGTATTGAAACAAAAGTAATAATGATTAATAATGAATAGTTTATTTTATGTATTGTATTGTATTGTGTCATGTTTTCCCAAAGAAGCTAAATAAACTTTGTTGTGAACTTTTTTCTTTCTTCTTTCCAAGTCTAGTTCCAACACTGTTATTATTTTTAGATTTATCAGATTTTTTTGTTGATTTATTTGGGTAAACATCATCTTTTTTTTTTAAAAAAAAATAGCACAATTAATATTAAATTTGATTTAATATTTTATGTGAAAATAAAATTTATTTATATACCTTCATTTTTTTCACCTTCATGAAGCCCTTTTCTTTTTTTAAAAAAGTTTTCTGATGATTTCTAAAAATAAAAATTCATATAAAAAATGAAATAATCTTTGATTTTTGATTTTCTTATTGCTTTCAAATATGTTCATAAAATATTATTTTCAAAATATATAATCAATAATAAACATACTTCAGAAATGTTAGAATGTTTAGATGACAAAGTTTTTTTCACTTCAACAACTTTTATTTCTTCCCGTTTTATCTCTTTTTTAACGTCAAGTGTTACTGAATTAGATGTCTCTTTTAAATTTTCATATACATAAATGAGAGCTGATGCATCCTTTAATAAAACGAAAGATTTATCATTATTATTCTTGTTATCAAACACAAATAAGTCATTATTTTAATAAACATGTTATTTTTTTAAAAAAAAAACCTAAAATACAAATATATTACTTGTGTACAATTTATCCCAATACTGTAAACATGTATACTTGTCAACTCATCAAACAATTTTTTAGTTGCTTTTTAAAATTTTTATTAGTTTCTTGACAAAAGTAGCTAGATAATTTATAATTTCTATGATAATATACCTTCTAATTCATCTTGCAAGATTAGCATAACTGATTGTTGTTCATTGTCCTTAATGCGGCCACAAAGACAATAGATAATGCGTATAGAATTACCAGAAACATTTGATGTAGTGATAAATTCAGATAATATCCTATATGCATGACAATACCAAAAGTTTTTTTTAAGATAAATATATAAACCTTTAGAAATTTAAACTAGCAAGTAATATATTAGAGGTAGCATATAAACTACATTTTTGCTTGATTTGTAGATAGTCCTAAATGTCGACTTAACCATTTGTAGGTAATCTAAAATTTCAAAAAATGGTTTTTAAAAAAAAACTCCAATTAACAATTTACAAAGTAACAAAAGATGTATATACCGTTCTTTTTTCTTGAAATATAAGTTTATGAATTGTTTCAAGTTGATCTGTTGATATCATTTTGAAATCATGAAAGCCTGTTATTGTTAAAAAAAACAATACGCGATTTTAAGGATACAGCAGTTGGTTACACGCAATAAATTAATTTTCTTTCGGGAAAGCAGCAAAATTCATGCAGAAATAAATTCACACACATTATTACAATTTGTTATATTGATTGACCTTCAACTTTTAATAGTATAATAACAATAAAATGATAAGTTTGCAACATGAAGCCTCAACTCTTCGAGATCCACAAAGACTTGAATTAACAGTGGCTCCGGGGAAAAGTCTAGGTTGGATCCGGCTAGGTATTTAGCAATCAGGAGGCTATTGTTTTTTAAAAAATATTATTTAAACACCAATTTATTGGTTTTAGGTACTTCCATATGGGACATGATTAATTTTTTGAGAGAACAATCCAGGGTAATTCCAAGAGTGGATCTAAAATATAGTGAAGAGGTAAGCGTTTTCTTTGTATCATTTAAACAGATTTTTATCTTTGTTTTCTTTACTTTATATTTATACATTCAAATTTCAAAGTCGCCACTTTCTACAGATTCATTTTTAAGTTTACCGGCAAATGGTATTAATATGCGATTTGATGCACAATCACAACGATTGAAATCAGTTGAAGTATATGATTTTTCAAAATTAAGATTGATTTATAAAGATAATGAGTTTTGGTAATTTAAAAGGATTCACTCAAGCAAAAAAAATTTTTTTGGAAGATATTTGTCAATTGAATACTTATATTTATCTCTCAATAATTTATTTAGCTCTAATAAAGTTGCACCAACCCTTTCATATATTAGTTACATTTTTGGGTAATTGATTGTTTATTATTTTATACTATATATATATATATATATTATCCCACCGGATTCTTTTAATTGATATAATTTGTAGACCCACTTATCCTGGAGAGAAATCTCAAGAGATTAAAAATTCTAATTATACACTTACACTGAATTACCCGGTGAGTCAACACATAATATTTGTAAATCTGTAAGTGGAACTTGGCAATTTGTATTATATATTTTTTAATATTATTAATCTATTTGTTTTATATAATATATTTAACAGGGTATTTCGTTTATGTTTCCTATACCTGCAGACTTTAAATATGATTCTTCAACCGGTAAATTGTCTTTGATTAATGACATGAAACATATATGTGAATCATCCATTTTATATTTGTAAATTTAAAACTTTCAGATCTTCCTTTGGAACTGCCGGATAAGTCATCACCATTGTTATCTCGATTGCGTCTTTTTTGTCATGGCTCCAATTACCGCGAACCAGTGATTCCATCATTAACCAGAAATGTTATTCTTGATGGCATCGGAAGAGGTAATGAGGATAATATAGAAATAGAAAGTGTGGTTGTTGAGGTATTTGAAATTTTCAACTAAAAAAAATTCATTGTTATCTTTATTATTTTTATTATTAACTTTTTATTGTTATAAATTAACTTTATTCTCAAATATTGATATGATTATAAATAGTTGAAACATAAAGCTCAAGTCAACTTCTTTTCTGGGAGCAATGCTAATTTCATTTCAATTGAAATCATTTTAAAAGTCACCACTTCACAAGATTTAATTGTGGACTTGGGGAGACCTCTTAGAATTTTTTATAAGGAAGAAGATAAAATGCAGATTCATTCTGAATATAATAATAATGTTATTGAGAACACGGAGAATGGTGTTAATGATCATGAATTATCTAATGAAGAAGCAAATAATTCTCGAGATGAAGGTATAAATATCAAAGGAAAAAAAAATTCTTTGAGTATACAAAAGTAGTTTGATTATATGTTTACTAAATGATTCGTATGCCTAATATATCCGTTTTTGTTTGCATTAAAATATAAGGTACAGGTCACCCAATTGATTATTTTTATAATTATTTCCATTTGGGATTTGATGTGCTTTTTGATGGAATGACACATCGTTGTAAAAAAATTGTTTTGCATGGAAATGTGCCTGGCCATTATGATTTCCAAACGTAAGAGGATGATTTTGTTTTACAATATAGTAGTTAGGCGACGCTTCAATAATATTTTAATTAATATGTTTATAGATATAAAAGGTGTCCTTATAAAATAATTCTGCAAAAAAAAGCAAGAACAACAACGTATAATCATAAAGGTAAATATAATAAATAATAAACCCATTATTCAACTTAAAACCGTAATGATTTATATGTTTACTATGTGATTCCAGTTGCTGAAATAATGGTGACAGATGATGATTCGCAACAAACATCTCAACCTTCACAAACTGGTAATGATTTCATAATGGCAGACACAAAGGTTTGCTTATAATGTTATTTATTTCTTTATGTAGTATTTAATTTTCTTTGAATTCTAATTTATTACTGATTAAATCATAGATCGAAAAGATAAAACAGTTGTTGGGTAAATCCTCTGGACGTCCGTTGATTTTCAATCGTGGTGCAGGTGATCAAAATCCTTTTGGCCCAACAGAGCTAAGTGGTTATGATGGTGCTATATTTGAGGTAAAAATTTTTATTGAAGCCTTTTAAATATTATTTATATTTACTTTATTAATTATTATTATTATTTTTATTTATATTTAAAGGCAATGAAAAACGGTTGTATTGCCACAATTACTTTATTTAATTAATAGGATTTCTTTTTGTTTTATTTAACTTAGAATTTGTTTCCATAATTGTTTTACTATTTTATTGTAATTTTATTGTTGAAGTTTTGCTAATAATGATTTCTATATATGTCATTTTTATATTGATATTAAGGCATTCCATTCATTCATTTTTAATGCAGATTTCTTTGAAAAAGGGATATTAAAAATAATTAATCTATAAAATAATCTATTATGTGAATTTTTCCATCATATCAACAGGATCAAGATATGGAAGCATTTAATAACTGATTATTATAAAAAGAAACTTTCTTTATATTGAGTTAATTTTCATATAATGGTCAATATATTATTTATTTATAAATTACTAAATTAAGAAAGATAAACAGGAAACGCTGATAAGTGTGTCGTGATATTTCAAAATTTTTATTTTTTCCCTTTTTTCTTTCTCGAGCTTCCACCACCACCAATACCATTATTGTTCTCTGATACTAATATATTTCCACCGATTAATTCAGGATTCTCTTTCATTTTATCTTGAGCTGAAAAATAAAACATCAAATCTTTTATTTGTTCTTCAAGATCATTGACTTTGTTATCTTTAGACTGTAGTTGTTCTTGTAAAAATTGTTGCTTAATCACTAAAGATTTTGTCATCTTTTTTTTTTTTAAAAAAAAAATAGAAAGATTTTCAATAATTTTTATAATAAAAAAAAAATTAAACCAAATTTGTTTTTTTACCTCTTTTTCTTCCATTAACTCTTTTTCCAATTTTTTCGATTTTTCCATAAAATTCTCGGATTTTTTTTCAAAATTTTTCTTTTCCTTTGTTAAATTTGGTATTTTTATCTTTTCAAGATCATCTTTTTGATTTTGTATTTTATCCATATTCTCCTTTATATTTGTTATTTCTTTAGACTGTAATTGAACTTGGTTTGATAGTTTTGAAAGTTCTTTAGTCAATGATTCTATTTTCTCTTCATAATAAGTTCTTTGAGATGATAATTGCGTAGTCAAAAGGTATGTATATTCAGCTGCCATTTCATCAAGTTTATTCTATAAAATGGAAACGAAAAATTATATTTATACTATTTATATTTATATTTTTTCGCAAATAAATATAAATTAACAGACTTGATCATTATGTGTTTGATTTGATTGATTTCTCGAATCTGGACTGGGTAATTCAACTAATTTACCGTCCGATTTGTTTTGAATTAATCGATGTACATATCTAAATTTTAGCATAACAACACAATTAATTATCTTATTTAATCGTATAGAAATATTCTTTCAAAATTGCCTACCCATCACCAGCATAATCCCATACTCTTTGGGTTTCTAGTTCCATTGCATATAAATGTGATGTTTCTTTATAATGACAATGTGCATGAGCTTCTTGATATCGGCCACATCCAATATTTCCACAAATTAAGCATATCCACAAATTTTCAATGGCACCACAGACCTCACATTCATTCTGTTCCGATGACGTGTCATAATCACCACGTTTTTGACTATAACGACAAACCGGGCAACTTTTTTTTCAAAAAAAATTTAAACAACTTTTACTAAAAATTATATTCATATAACTAATGATTTAAAAAAAATTATAAAATAAATAAACAACCTACCTACTATCTCCCCATTTGCTCAAACAATTACAATGAAATGTATGTTGACATAATATTGTCAATAAACCTGTTACTGAAGCATCCATTCTTTCTAAACAAACAGGGCAAGTAGGAAGCTCATGTAAAATTGTAGAATTTTCTTGTTGTGAAGATGATAGAAATGGATCATGTAAAAATGGAAATGAATAAGGAGAAATTGTGGTGGATTTAAATTCTATTGATTTGATGTAAGCAACATGACATATTTCAGGCTAAAATTTGTAATATATAAAAAGATATTATTTATATAGTAAAATAATAATAACAATAATCGTAATAACAATAATATATTAATTTACCTCCATTGAACTAAATGGTTGACCATTAAATTGTTTATAAAAATCATTTGCTACATGTGAATTACGAAATTTCATCAACACTACAAATTTATTAGGTGCAGAATCTCTATAACGAAATATATGATTAATTATAATATTTTGCGTAAAATCATCTTTATATGATATTTCATAAAATTTACCTTATAAACCTAAAATGGCTTACATCACTTCTTACTGATGCAACAAATCCTAAAAAATCAGAAGCACTCATATAAGAAGGAACAGCTAACACAGCTAATATAGTATCATCATTATTTTCAATTATATTTGTATTTGTATTCAAAGAATCCTGGCTATTATTAACCTTATCGTTAGCATTTTTTGAAACGTTATTATTGTCTTTAGGAATTTCATTCGGATCACGATATAAATGTAAAATTCCATAACTAGGATTTGTTTTACCAGATTTAAGAGGCACATATTCACCAGCTAAAGAATTTATTACTTTGTCAACACATTTAGTTTTCTGTTTCTTAGCAGAATCAGCTGTAGTTGTGGCAGTGGCTGTAATAACATCAGTATCGCTGGAAGGATTTGGCGTCAAAAGTGAATTAAAAACGTTTAAAGTGCTTTCAAAAGAAGATGAGCTTGTCGAGTCTCCTCCACTCTCAATTTCAGTTGTTTTTGATTCAATTTTTGTGTGTGATGCATTGTCGTTATTTTGTTTATCCATATTTCTCTGACTGTCAAGCCACTCAATTTCAATTTTACCAAATCTAAAATCGTGAGTTTTATTAAAAGTTGATGGGGTTGAAGTGAGAGTTGGAGTTGAAGTTGAAGTTGAAGCAGGTGTAGGTATATTATTAATATCAGTGTAAAGTTCAAATTTTAAATGATAATAGTACATCGCAACCTAAGACTAATGCGGTAACAAGATGCAAGAGTTCTTGATCAAAAATGTGAATTCGATCAGCCAATCAAAATTGATTGGTAATGAAGGATGACGCATGCTCACTCTTGAAATCTGTACAACCTGAATTTCTCCACTGACTGAAATTTATTTTAATTAAAAATAAAAATAAATCAATGGACAGACTTCAAAGACTTTTTGGTGCAGCAGCAGCAGGTCAAAGCTTGCAACCTGGGATGGATACACCAACAGTTGATAATGCAGAAATGGTTTACATTTCTTCTTTAGCATTGCTTAAGGTATGTATGGTTTTAAAAGAAAGGTGCAGCTATTATTTTTCTTGAGATATTTATTAATTATTTCTTACTTTCTTTAATATATTTCATAAATAGATGCTCAAACATGGTATAGACATATTTAAATTTACATGACAGATGCTCCAATTGATGTTGTTTTATTACATGTTGTTTAATTAAATATCAATTTAGGTCGTGCTGGTGTGCCTATGGAAGTTATGGGTCTAATGCTTGGGGAATTTGTTGATGATTATACAGTAAGAGTAATAGATGTTTTTGCCATGCCTCAAAGCGGTACTGGTGTATCTGTAGAAGCAGTTGATCCAGTGTTTCAAACAAAAATGTTGGATATGTTAAAACAGACTGGGCGGTGAGTTTCCAGCTATTTTATTTTTTAAAGATTGTGCATTCTATTCAAAATTTTATTAATGAAATAATTTCTCAGACCAGAAATGGTAGTTGGTTGGTATCATTCTCATCCTGGATTTGGATGTTGGTTATCTAGTGTTGATATAAACACACAACAGGTATTTTAATAAATTATTCACGCAATAAACATTAATTAATTAATCAATTAATTAATTTTTTTATTTTAATTAGAGTTTTGAAGCTTTAAATCAACGTGCTGTAGCCGTTGTTGTTGATCCAATACAGTCTGTGAAAGGAAAAGTGGTTATTGATGCATTTCGTCTTATTAATCCTCAAATGCTTATGCTTGGTCAAGAGCCACGTCAAACTACATCAAACATTGGCCATTTAAATAAACCAAGTATTCAGGTTAATAATAAATAATATTTAAATATTTAAATAATTTATATAATATATTTATATATTTATATTTTATTTAATATTAGGCATTGATACATGGATTGAATCGGCATTATTATTCAATTGCAATAAATTATAGAAAAAATGAATTAGAACAAAAAATGCTGCTTAATTTACACAAAAAAAATTGGACACATGGATTGAGATTAACAAATTTTACCGATCACACAGAATTGAATGAAAAAAATGTTAAAGTATATATATTTATTTAGAAATAAGACCATATTATTCTTTCTGAGCGCTAATAATAATAATATTTTGTTGTTATGTTTATTAGTCTATGCTTTCGTTAACAGAGGCTTACAATAAATCAGTTCAAGAGGAATCAACAATGACACCAGAGCAATTGAAAACCAGACATGTTGGTAAACAAGATCCAAAGCGTCATTTAGAAGAAAGTGTGGAAGAAGTGATGTCTAATAATATTGTTATGTCATTAGGAACTATGATGGATTCAGTTTGCTTCTAATAAACGATAAATTAATTATAATATATACATATATCAATTTTGAAAATATTTACATTTTAATTGAAATATTAAAATTCCACATAATTTGATATTTGACATTGCGTGAATAATAAAGTCAATAATAAGGCGCTTTAGACCTTTGATTCCTAAAATAATTAAAAAATGGATATAGCAAAAAGGGCCTCCAAAGACCAATTAACGACTTAAATAGGAATTGGAACGGTTCAGTCACCATATCCGAAATTGGGTGTTAGGTTGCAAAAAATTTTATATTCATTTAGAAAAACAGACATTTAATTAATTCAATTAATTGCAAGATACTTAGTCTTATTGTCTTGCAAATCCTTTAACTCCGAAAATGGAAATGCATGGCCAAAAAAAAACAAGATGTAATTTTGAAGATAATATGATCTTTAAAAATGAAATGAATCAATCTTTTATCACGTGATAACAATAAAAAAAAACTGAACAAATTATCATCATTTTCTTTCTTTCCTTTTTCTAATATAGTTGTTATATTTATTAATCGTTACATCCTTATATATTATCTGGATTTCCAATTTAAAATAATATAAAAATTTTGAATTTCAACCCATTCGCTAGATAGATTATCCGATCCTTCATATTTACGGTTACTTATGATTAGGGATAGTATATAACGTGTTGTAAAAGATTTGAGGGGTATATACCATGGTAAGATGGTTGAATATTTATTCATAAGAAATACTAATTGTAGAATAAACTGTTATACATCTTCATAGAATTCTTGATTGTTACTACTATCTTCTAATTAATAAATTCATTAACATCATCATAATTATCACCATCATAATCATAGCCATTATAATCGAAATCCAAGTCATTGTCAATTTCTTCATCTTCACCATTAATCTCTGTTTGATATTCAGAATCATTTTCAAACCTTTTTCATATAAATTAGATAATCTTAAATTGGGATATATTGAAACAAGTTTAAATACATTTTCATTAGTGAATCTATTTCTTCTAACATTATGGATATAAACAAAGTCACGTTCTAATGCTGTAGAAGAAGCAGGTATGTTTTGTTAAAAATTTTTTTTATTAACCATGGTATAAAAGTGGTATAAAAAATGGTAATGGTGTATAACATTACCAGGAAATCTATTAAATAAATTTTAAGGAAAATACAGATTTTTAAGGTAATATTCGAGCCCTGGTTATTAGCTTTCAGAAAGTAAAAATACTTCTACCACAAAAAAAAAATTTTTGTAAAGCTAGTATCTTTTTAAATTTAAGACACATTAAAAAATCACACATAAAAAAAACTATCTTGAAATAATGCGAGAAACTGATATGATACAAGAAGATATAGTAATGGAACAAATGGAAGAAATTGAATAACATAAAGAAGCATGGCAAGAAAATAGAAATGTTCTTTTTTAGTCATCACAAAAATATTAAAAATAAAATAGCTAGCTAGAAAAACAGTCAAAAAATGGCTTTAACATAATTCTAAATTTCAAGTTTACATAATTAATGTATCAGTTGATAGTAACACGCACTAAATGCCTTTGCTAATACCAATTGGGATAAAACGATTCCAAAGTTCAAATTTAAATTAAAAAAATTAATCTTAAATAATGCAAAAGAAAACTTGGTGAATAAGTAATTGCTTTTACCGTAGGGTTTCTGTTACGACAGGCTTGGATAAAAACTAGCAATATATCCATATTAATACCTAGAACTCCTCGATATGGTATTCATAGCAAAGTTTAACTTTTAAATATATATTTGGAAAATTTTTGGGGCTAACTTGGACATTGGTAATGCGATGGTTGGAGCACATCAACAAATTTTATTTTTATATATATGTGAATTTCGTTTTAATAAAACAACCACTAAGGCTTGTTTGTATCATCTTTCATATGAAGACTATCAAACTTTTTGATTTGTTTGAAAAAAAATAATATTTAGAATACATTATTTTTCAAACAAATTTATAATTTTCACAATCCACGCAATCCTTTTCAGGCTTACATTCTGGAATAGTGAAATTATAATCCTTTTCCCATGGAATTAAAACTTCATTGATGATTTTCATAATAGGATGATTTCTAGCATTAACACTCCAGTCTAATTCTTCCGCCACTTTAAATAGACAAACATTTCCAATATGACATTTTGATTCCATCTTCAAAAAGAAGTAAATTGTTTAAATTAATTTATGAATTGAAAAGTGGTTAATAGTCAAAATCAATCAATCAAATACGTGCAAACATCTTACCGCATATCCACCCATCCAACACAAAGTTCCAAATCCCTAATATTGATTATAAAATATAAAATCATTAATACCAATTATTAATTAAAGAATTTTATTCAATAAAATTTATATATTATTATAAAATATTAATTACATGACATAAACCCATAAAAATACTGTCAGCATTATTACCAACATGCCAAATATTCATTTTATCGTCTGGTAGGGCAGGTGGTCTTGGTAAATGTAATCTACTAGCTGCCATTCTATCACCTGGTGATTCAAACGTTACAGTTGGTATCCCATAGGATGATCCAACCAAAGATCCAAGAGTTCCTCCCAATGAATGACCTGTTAACCATACTTGTAGATTCTCATCTTCGTATTCTTTTGTTATATTTTCAAACATTTCCTTATTTGCAATTAGCCAATATAATGTTAGTAATGTTAGTAATGATTTTAAAAGAATAAAAAACTACAAATATTTGTTTACCAAAATTGAATTATAATACAATTTTCTTTCGTCCACACTATCTTGTACACAATCCAAATCACATTTATTATTGTCTTTATGACAATCACACACTGGCGTCCATGGCCAACCAATTTTACAACAACAAGAAAATAATCGATTATCCTAATTTAAAAAAAAAAACTGAAATGAATGAATGGTTTACAACATAATCAAATCAAATAAAATCAAACCAGCCAACCAACCAACCAACCAACCAATTGATTTGTCTGAAACTCACATTAATACGATCTTTTTCTTCGGTTGGTCCTCCATCATTAAATCTTACACTGGATCCTTTGATCGCAATAACCATTAAACTATTGTTCTTATTTCCAAAAACATATCCGCGTATACCATCATCTTCCCATCCGAATGTAGAGTTCTTTTAAAAATTATTATAGTAGTAAAAGTAGTACAATATTTTATTACATGATTCGAACATGTATATATAAAATATACACATGAATAATAATAATAAATTCATTCATACCACATTATAATGTTTGCCTAGATCATACCAATCATCATCATCACATTTGATATACGCATTTGAAGACATTTTCGCTAAACTTATCAAAGTTTGCATGTCTGTAACATTCGGTAACAACAAATCGACAGAATCATTCCATTCAATTATCGATGAAGTTTGTTTATATTGAGAAAGAAATTGAAATTCTTTTATTGCGTCGCGTCTAACAGGCCTAACACCAGTTCCGTTTATTAAGCTTACACCATGTGTAAAAGATATTCCAGTGTTTAATTCACGGAGATGCACTTGGGAAGTATTTAAATCAAGACGACGTATAAGATTAGGATATCTGTTTGTGCCATAATGTATTATATGTCTTAACGTGACTTGTTCTAATTTTGAATCGACTATATTGATGTTATTATATACTGGCTTATCATTATTATTACTATTATTATTGATTATTAATAGATTTAGTAGCGTAATTGATAAAAACAATAAAAATATAATAGTTGTTGAAAAAAGTAAAGCAAATTCCATCTTTATTAAAAAACTTTATTTTGTTTTGATCACGTGTGGTATTGTGCGAATTATTTGTAAAAAAAATTACGTAATAAGTAAACCTTATTACACTAAATTAGAAAAGATCCAAATCTTCCTATAGCTAATTGTGGCCTCATAGAAAGTCATCCTTGCTGCTGCTGCTGCCACCAGCTAGACATATTCCTGCCATAGTTAAAATGGTAACATAGAGGTCAGTAAGTCCCCTTATAAATGGATCAGGTCTCTCTCCATAAATGTTTATGTGCAAAAAAATGTTCCTTATGTTACAGGCAGCATTAACATCTCATTCCAATGTGCCAGACAGGCTGATTGCACACTCTGACAGACCAGAATTTTTGATGCTTATCAAACCATCCATCACACAAAGAACAGACTGAGAAAGTACGGAACTCATCAATGTTCACCACCTTGCATTGTCTAGAAAGCTCTCAGCGAAATTGTTTTACAAGGCCTAGAGCATGCCATGTGATGTTGATGAGAATTTACCATCACCAAATGCAACAACTGTACTGTCATCATTACTATTTGTTATTCTCTTGTACAGAATATCAAAGGCTTCTGCTTATTAATAAAAAGATTTCCATTGCAACCAATGCCAACAACATTCACCATAAAAATCAAGGATCATATCAAGGTAAAAGCCATCAATATTCATAGACATTAGTGACATCAGAGGTTAGAATTTCTAGGTTTGTATTAGTATTAGGTGAAAGGTATGTAGGTAATATTATTCAATGATATTCTTGTTTAACAGCAAATTAAATTAACAAAATATAGCTCACTTTGAATAACAGTTTGAAGATATTTATTTTTTTCCAACCACACAACTCATGTTTTTTGAAGCATGAACAAATCCTGCTAAGTTCCAGTACTCCATGTTGGAACAGCTCACAACTTTTTCATCAGAACTCGCTACTACAAACAGATCTATTCTTCCAGGATCACGTGGAAAAAAGGTATTTACATTGGTCATAAATGATGACGATGATAATGATAATGAAACAATGGTAAACGACGAAGGTCATGAGAGTTGTGACGGATTTCCCTATATTATTTTAATATAACCTTTACCTCCATTGGGTTATATCCCTATCCACAATTTTAACCTTATTTGTAAACGATATACAAGTGTAACCTAACGTTTTTTTAATATTAATATATTAATAGCAATGGTTTTTTTTTGTGGCCGGCCACTTGGCTGATTTCTTTAACAAGAAAGAAATTATAAATTATTGATGGTGAGTTGGTTAATTCCTTTAACAACAAAGAAATTAATTATAAATTATTCTCTTTTTTTTGGTGGCGAGTCGGTTGATTCCTTTAACAACAAAAAAATAACTATCAATTGTTCTTTTTTTTTTTGGTGGCAACTTGGTTGATTCCTTTAACCAAAAAGAAAGACATGGCTGATTTCTTTTAACAATATAAAAAATATCCTTTTTTTCACAGTTGTGACAAAGTAATCTTTTTTGCATGTATAAAAGAACTTGGTTTTGACTTAGGCATAATATGTACACATTCTTTTATAATTGAATAATAAAAATAAAATTTCAATAAAATTTATAAATTCAATCTATTGTTTCTATAGAAGGAGGAAGAAAAGCATTTGAAACTGCAAAAAGATTCTTTATAACAGCAAGAATTTGCTACAAAAAAAGATTTCAGTGAATTAATAAAACGTTTAAATAGTTCTGTAGATAAAGCAAAACATCAATTGATTTGAATAAAAAATTAAATTAAAAGTCACGTGAAATGATAATGTAGGTCAGTAATGATAACAACAACAATAATAATTTAATAAATCTATCATCAACTCTCATGTTTGGGAACCCATAGTACCTCTGTTATTGCAACACTTGAAGGCCGGCACATCATTTAAAGAAGAGGTGTTAGCAAAAAAAAATAATGTTTAATTGATCGAGGAACCAAAACTTTTCAGATCTTTTTGTTTTGTGAACTTGGTGAAAATGGCCTGATGAAATCTTGGCGTGTAACATCCTTACCCCTATATGGATCTTTTACTTTAAAAATCACATGATTTACACATTTAAATCTTTATAATAATAATAAATAAAATGTCAAATACTGATCGAGGAGGAACAATTCGAGAATATATAGATGCTCGTAAAAAAGCTAGCATGAGCTGGTAAAGTTTCATTATTAAGTTTCATTTTTTTTTTGTTTTCAGTAATATATATACAAATAAAGTTATTATACCATATACGAGACTTTCGCTTACTTTTTGTCCCTAATGCAAATATTAAATATTTGGTTTGCAAAAAATTATTTTTACTTCGAGGGACGAATTTCGTAAACTCAAAACAGAACATGATGGGCCACAATTTTCAGAACATGACCTTATAAAGTATAGACAGAAATTAGACGAAGAAAGAGAGGCCAGATTGAAAGGATTTAAAGTAGGGGAGTCTAATAAAAAAAAAAATAAAAAACATCACCATCATCATCATGGGAGTAAAAGAAAAAGGAGTGGATCTAAAAGCCATAGTGGAAATGAAGGAAACAGTGGTAATGATGAATATGATGGTGACGATGATAATAATAATGAAAAGGAAGGACATGATAATGACAGCGATTTAAAGGTATTATTATTATTATTATTATTATTATTATTATTATTATTATTATTATTATTATTATTACTATTATTATTGTATACAAAAGATCTTTATACTTATGTGTGTGTGTGTAGCATAAACATCATTATCACGACCATCATAAAGATCGAAATCTTAAACATAGTAAACATTCCAAGTCAACAAGAAGCGATAGTTTAGATTCTCAAAGTTCATCAGTAAATTCAGATGAGGAGAAATATAAAGATGATAAAACTCGTCATCATCACCGTCATCATCACCACCATCATCGTGATCGTGGTTCTTCTCATAAGGTACGACAATATATCATAATATTTATGTATTATATATTTATACTATAATTATCACCAATTGATTTATTTAAAATAAAAAAGAAACATAAACATAAAGTTCACGAAGAAGATCATACTGGAGGCACACCAGTGCGTCTATCAGAATTTCTTAGACATGGAAGTAGTAGTTCTGATGAGTAACATTTCATATTAATTAATGTATTTATTTTTGTAGCTATTGTTATTTTATATTTTTATTATTCTTCCACGATGATTAAAATTATTAAACGAAGGACGATTATCAATTTTATCAATTGTTCTATAAAATAAATATTATTAATATTATTTTGATATATTATTATTATAGAAAATAGAGAATAATGAAGTTATATATTATTTTGATTTTTTCATACTTTGTTGCCATTTCATTCTTCATTAATATGGGTTTTAAAGGTCCTGCTATCATTACTACACTAACGGAAAACGTTACCACTGACAAAAGACATTCAATTATAATCTACATATTTAAACAATTAATAATTAATAATTATTAGTTATTAATGATTAATTATTAATTTTACCTCAAGTATTTTTTAATCATTTTCAAGCAAATTATTTAAAATTTATACATACTTCAATTGGTACATCGTTTGGAACTTTCTCCACGGCTTTTAAGTAGGAAAGATCTAAACAGGAAAAATTTTAAGAATTTCTTAAAGTATATAATAATCTTAATAATCTTAAATCTTAAAATACAACAATTTCAACATACGTTCATAAGTTGAATAAGTTGAATGGAATAAAGCCAAAAAACTTAGCCAACCCAAAAGTTTTCCTATCTTATTATATGAAGAAGGCATATTTTTTTTTATAAATTTGTTTGTTTGATGTTAATCATGTGCCGAGTTTTTTAAATTAGGTGATCTTTCTCCAAAGTGGTAATCATATTTCCTTTATAGGTAAGAAGTTCACGTTATCATTAAATTTGTACAACTATTTTCTCTTGTTATTAGATGTTGAATGATCTTTTATTTATTTAATAAACTTTAGATCATGTTTGAAAAAAATTTAACTGATTTAATTCGTGGAATAAGAGCGAATAAGAAACATGAACAAAAATACATTGCAACCTGTTTACAAGAAATACATCAAGAAGTTAAATGTAATGATCCTGATGTGAAAGCAATGGCTATTTCAAAATTAACCTATGTATGATCAATAATAATAAAACATACTTATTCTAACTTATTAAAAGCATTTATTTTTATTAAAAAATGAATATTTTATTATTACTTATAGCTTCAAATGTTGGGCTATGACATGTCTTGGGCATCTTTTCATGTTGTTGAGGTAATGTCTTCACCAAAATTTATACAAAAAAGAACAGGATATTTAGCAGCTGCACAATCTTTTCGTCAAGACACCGATGTATTAATGTTGACAACTAATTTATTGAAAAAAGTATTTATCAATTATTCAATTATCCATCAAATTTCAATTATAAATAGATAAATAGATATTTAAAATAATATTTATCGTAAAAAAAAAAATAGGATTTAGCCTCTGGAAATCATCTTGAAGTTGGTGTAGCTCTTAATGGACTCTCACATTTAGTAACTCCAGATCTTGCACGTGATCTATGTCAAGACTTGGTTTCTATGCTTAACCATTCTAGGCCTTATATTAGAAAAAAAGTAGTTCTCGTGCTTTATAAAATTTTCCTGAGATTTCCTGAGGCATTGAGAATTAGTTTTCCAAGATTAAAAGAAAAATTGGATGATCCTGATCCATGTAAGTAGTTACTGGAGTTCAAAACTCTACTATATTTGTATTATTATTATTATTATTATTAAACATATTTATTTGTATTAAAAAAATTTTTTTTTGGTTGTAAAAGCTGTTGTGTGTGCTGTTGTTAATGTGATTTGTGAACTAGCAAGAAAAAATCCTAAAAATTATTTATCACTAGCACCTCAACTATTCAGATTATTAAGCTCATCGCAGAATAATTGGATGCTAATTAAAATTATTAAGCTGGTTTGTATATTAAAAAATATATATATTTGTATTTTATAAAACTATTATTATAGAATTATAACATTCATTAATTTACCGGTTAATTCATTATTAGTTTGGCGCATTGACACCACTTGAACCAAGACTTGCTAAGAAACTTTTGTCCCCAATAACAATTCAAATACAAACAACATCTGCTATGTCATTACTATATGAATGCATTCATACAGTAATTACTGGTGGAATGTTAAATTTAGCTGGCACTAATTCAGATTCTCTGGCCGCTATGTGTGTATCTAAATTGATAACATTTCTAGAAGATGCTGATCAAAATTGTATCCTTTGTTTTCTATTTCACCTCTTCCTCTCAATAATAATTAATTATATCTTTTAACCCGAATGGTATGTTGGTATTTGATAGTGAAATATGTTGGGCTTTTGGCATTGGCTAAAATTCTTCCAACTCATACAAGGCTTGTTTCTGAACATCGAGATATTATTTTAAAATTGATTGATGATCCTGATATTAGTATACGATTGAGAGCTTTGGATTTGGTTGTTGGAATGGTAAAATTTCTATATAGTAATTTTCATATTTTTAAATTTTATTCAGTTTTTAATTTTCTTTTTAAAAAAAATAATCATCAATTTTAAAAAGGTTAACAAAAGAAATCTCACGGATATTGTTAAAAGATTAATGTCACATCTTTTACCGCCAAATAACAACAATTCCTCAATTTTAAATCTTCATTCATCTCCTACTACATTACTTGAGCCTGCTTATCGAGCTGATATTATAACTCGTATTATTTACATATGTTCACAAAACTCTTATAGTAATATTACAAGTTTTGAATGGTATATTGCAGTCTTAATAGATATTACAAAAATAGCTGGAGTAAAAGTTGGAGATATGTTGACATTACAAATGATGGATATTGGTGTTCGCGTTAAAAGTTCTAGGGATTATTGCGTAAAAGCAATGGTATATTTATTTTTATTATATTCTTTAACAATAAATTTTGATACATAATTATTATTATTATTATAACTTTAGTTGTTTATTTTTTAAAATAGCAAAATTTATTGTCAGATTCAAAAATGATAGAAAATTGTAAATTACCTGATTCAAATTCCGAAGTACTTTATGCAGCAGCATGGATTGTTGGTGAATATAGCAGGTAAATATTTTATTTTTATTGAACTAAAACTCATTCATTATATGTCATTTAATTCATAATAACAATAACAATGACATTATTATTAATGTTATTAAAAATAGTTATTTAGAAAATCCACAAGAAACTATAAAACATCTTATTCAACCTGGTGTTACTAAACTTCCACATAATGTTCAGGCTGTCTATGTTCATGCAATATTGAAGATTTATTCATATTGGTCCAATAATTTAATTTATAATTGGAATGAGACTACAAAGAGTGAATTGATCGAGTTTACTACTTTTTTAAAAGAGAAAACAGGGGTGTTTTGTTCTTGCACTGATTTAGAAGTTCAAGAAAGGGTAATTAACCAAATAATGTGTACATAAATGTATACGTATGCATATAAGACTTAATAATTTTAATTATAATTATTATTAGGCATACAACGTTCGAGAAATATTCTCTATAATTCATCAACAATTGATGACAATTGAGGATTACTCAACTGAGCAAACAAATATCTATTCTTTTGAAAATAAAGCACCAAGCGTCATAACGGAACTTTCCGAACTTTTTTTTTCGTATGAACTTAACCCTGTAGCTCCTAAAGCCCAAAAGAAAGTTCCTATACCCGAGGGACTTGATTTAGATACTTGGATTAATGAACCATTGCCAGACACAGACGGTGATTCAAGTGAAGAGCAATTGGAGGAAAGTTATGGGCATGGTTATGGTCAAAAACTTGGTGGGAGTGGTGACTTGATATTTTCGAGCGGAAATGATACAGCTTTTGGTAGAAGAAGAGTAAGAAAAAATGGTAAAAAAACTGGTAATGAAAGTGAAGAAAGTAAGGAACTTCTTGAAAAGGTAACTATTTAAATTATTTATTATGATTATTATTAATATTAATTATCAATTATTATTTTATTTTTATTCATATTCATAATGAATTAATAATAAACCTTTAAAGCGTCGTAAGGAGCGTAAAGAAAGGAATAAAAATGATCCATACTATATTGAAGTTGATAATGTTGGTTCAATAAAAAAATCAAAATCAAATATATTAACATCATCTCATAGTAAGAGTGAAAATATTGACGTGGATTTAATACCTGTAGTACGTTTGACAATGGATGAATTTGATTTTAAATGTAAGCTTTGTTTATTATATAAAATCTTTTTCCAATTTATAAATGATAAATAAATAAATAATATCTCTTGTTTTTTTAATTATAATATAATTAGCAATACCTAAAAAGTCCAAATCCAAGAAAACCAAAAAAGGAAATAAAAAAGATCAAAGTCGATCGACAACATCACTATCAACGTCACAAAAAAAACCACAAACATCAGCATCACTAACCACAACACCGGTTATTATCTACACGGATATTGGTGAAATGCCAGAAAATGCGACTATTTCAGATGATGAAAAAGATACTACTAAAGAAATATTTGAACAAAAAATCTGGAATAACGGTAAAAGTATCAAAGCTGGTGGAATATTGGATGTAGATTTTTCTGGTATAGCAAACGTAGATTTATCTACTCCGTTGGGCGAAGACGAAAAATTACCACAAATAACTGTTTACGCTAGCCCTGAAGAATCAAGGATCAAAGAGGTTGAAAGAGTAAAAAAATTATTAGTAGAAAGACAAGCTAAAATTTTATCAGAAAAATCGAGTAGTTCAAAGAAATCATCAAAAGTAAGATCTTAATCGCTCTCATTATTGTCAATATATATTATTCTTTATAATAAATATTAATTATAATTAATTTATATGGATTAATTGATAGATTGTGAAATCTAAGACAAAGCCTTCCACAAAATCAACAAATTCCAAATCCCTTGAAAAAGCGGAAAAGGCTTCTAAAAAAACATCAAAAAAAAAGGCGAATAAAGAAGCATCTGAAAAACCAAAGAAGAAGAAGAAGGAAGCCATTACTACTACCACCACTACTAAAAAGGTAAAAATAAAAAAAAAATTTTTCTGAGCAAATTTCTATTAATATTCATTTAATATGTTCCCTTCAATAGAAAAAGAAAGAAACCCATTCTGAAAACCAAGAATCTGAAAAGGGTTCCAAATCTTCCAAATTACCAATTAAAACTTTAATCGATTCAGAGAATTTTAAAATTGTAAGTTTTAAAATAAAAATAAATTGCATTTTATTTTATAAATAAAATATTAATTAATTTTTTTTTTGAATTTTTAATTATTATTAAAAGACTTATACTTTAAGATTAGCAGCTTCTGTAGAAATCAAGAATGAAGCACCTTTGTTATATGTAAATTTTGTAATAATTAATAAATGTTCTATGAATATTTCACAAATGTCATTTACGTTTGAATCAACATCAGATATCAATTTTGAGAGCAAGGTGGTTGAAGTAGTAGATGCATTGACTGTCAATGGGGAAAAAGAAATTTCAATTCCATTTAAAGTTTTAGGAATTGTAGGAGTTGGTTTAGAAGTTACTGGAACATTTAACTATACAATACAGGTAATAATAATTAATATATATTTAATTATACAATGTTTTTTTATTAATTAATTTTTTTGAATAGATAACGAATGAGAACTCGACGGTGACAAATGATAAAGATAATATTAATATCAATAATAGTAGTAATTCAATTCCCATAAAGTTTGAATTACCTGTGGCAACGTTTATGTTAGATATTCCTAAATTATCACCGGATGAATTTATAAGTTATGTTTCTAAAACATCAGATTTCCCATTTACCGGATCAACATCCTATCATCTAAGAAGTGCCATTGATCCAAACAATGACATCAACAATAGTATTATTGATAAACCAATCGAAGAAATTTTTCATAATTCATTGGAAAATTTGACAACGACTGCAACAGGTACAAATATAGTAGAACAAGTTACAGGTGCTATAACATTTTACGGGAAAAGTGTTCAGGGATATCAAGTTGCTGGATTGGCAAAATTAAGCGTAGAAAATTCATCGTTAATAGATGATGACGATGATGACGATTCCAATGATCTTATTAAGAAGGAAATGGTAAAGATTGAACTTAAATGCACAGATCAAGCATTTTTGGACGGGCTGATTAGAGAAATTAATAATTTATACAACGTTGAAAGCGATATTTATATTAATAATTAGAAGAAGTGATGGAAGATAGGAATTTATCTTATTATTATTGTCACAACGACTTATTTATTATTATTATTATTAATATTACTATTACTATTATTATTAAATTCTAATTGTAATTTTAGAAAAATAATTCTCTTACAATGATATTTCAAATTCCCCGAATCTTTAATCTCAATATTAATATATAATAATTCTTAGGATACAATTAATTAATTCTTTACCACCAAAATTCAAAATTCATTTTCCAAAATAAAAAATTTATAAATTTATGATGTGACTGTTTCAGTTTGCAAATTATTGAATGACTTAGTGCTTGTCTAGAATGTGTGTTTTTGCTTTCTTGCATTAGCGATTTGGTATACAGTCAGACCTCCATAATTGCACCCCCTTGAACTGAGGCACAGCATGCATTTATAGAGGGAGAAATTTCATTGGTTGCACGTGATACACAGCATATATATAAATTATTTTATTCTATAGATTTTAAATATCCATTGTAGTTTGACCAGACAAAGTGAACATTGGTATTACCAAAGATTTCAGGGATCAATAGTGTTTTTAACATCACAATTGTGTTACCAATCTAATGTGATCACAATATTCCTCTAGACAAAAATAGTTAATATGAAGTTAATTTACATCAGATCTACTATGGAACCCAAGAATTATATATAGCACCATTAGAAGTATTCTGAAGTAGTAATCATCATATTCATGAACATTCATTGAGGGGGTTACACTTATCAAAATCAAGTGATTGACACATAATTTTAAGGGATTTTTGGATTTTTGATAAGTATAACTCCCTTAATGAATATTCATGAATATGATGATTGTGATCACTAATTCTAAAATGATACTCAGACACTAGAAACTTATCTAAACAAAAGAAAGGATTACTTATGAAATTTACCAAGAAGAAAAAGTTTTCAAAAGAGTATTAGAGAATTCTAGTAAAGAATCAAAACTGGCAGAATAACAAATAATTACTTTTTTTCAACTTTGTTACTTTTTTAATTATCAAGGTCATTTTTTAGTTTCTTTAACTCCAATTTGAGCAACTTGTTGAGAAGTTAACTGTTCTAACTGAGTCTTTAACCTTTTGATTTCCTCTTTGTGATTATCA